TGCCCTTAGTGTGATCCTTCCTCCCTTGACCCATCATTCAAATCCTGGCCCTGCCCCCATCACTGCTGCTTTTCCCCAGGGAATTAATTTCCTTTTGAGATCGCTCATCGCTTTAGAGTTGGTGGTGAGCAGCAGCCTCTCCTTAGGGATCTCTTTTTCTCCTGCTTTCCCCTGTTGCTGCACAGCTGACACCATTTCCCTGTTTGCTTTTCATCTGCTTTAGCCTCAGATCTATTTTTCCTCCTCTGACACAGCCAGGCAGCACAACTGCTGCTGCTCTGGCCCGTGCCCCAGGTGCTGCAATTCAGCTGCACATCCCTGGGCTCTTGCAGACCTTGAGCCACTCAGGAGTGTGACACAGCTTGAGGGGGCTCAAGCACACCCCAAAACAGGTCCCTGGGGAGTGGTGGAGAGCCCAGCCCACCCACCCATCCCACCAGGCAGTTATTAGGTACCAAAACCATCTCTGTGCCACGGGGCCTCGGGACCAGAGGAATTTTAAGCTGCTAGGGACAGTGTCATCCTGGGTTTTGCTTTTATTTGTGACCAAGAAACCAAGCTGCAGCACTCATGGCTCTCTTTTTTCTTTCTCTCTCTCTCTCTTTTTTATTTTTTTGTCTTCTTTAGAGTCGGTGGTGAGCAGCAGCCTCTCCTTAGGGATCTCTTTTTCTCCTGCTTTCCCCTGTTGCTGCAGAGCTGACACCATTTCCCTGTTTGCTTTTCATCTGCTTTAGCCTCAGATCTATTTTTCCTCCTCTGACACAGCCAGGCAGCACAACTGCTGCTGCTCTGGCCCGTGCCCCAGGTGCTGCAATTCAGCTGCACATCCCTGGGCTCTTGCAGACCTTGAGCCACTCAGGAGTGTGACACAGCTTGAGGGGGCTCAAGCACACCCCAAAACAGGTCCCTGGGGAGTGGTGGAGAGCCCAGCCCACCCACCCATCCCACCAGGCAGTTATTAGGTACCAAAACCATCTCTGTGCCACGGGGCCTCGGGACCAGAGGAATTTTAAGCTGCTAGGGACAGTGTCATCCTGGGTTTTGCTTTTATTTGTGACCAAGAAACCAAGCTGCAGCACTCATGGCTCTCTTTTTTCTTTCTCTCTCTCTCTCTTTTTTATTTTTTTGTCTTCTGTTAACTTGCACTGTAGCCCCTAGACGGATAACATCCTTGGAAAAAGCCTACGCTGCCTTGCATGGTACGTAGCTCAGTTGGTGCTTCCTAGATGGTAGCAGACAAGAAATGCACTTGCATTTGAATGTGGGAATGAAAATGTCTTAAACCCCCCACATTTCAGGTATTTTTTTTTTGTTTGTTTTGTTTTCCTCTCTGCTCTGTGTCCCTGTGATGCCAAGAACTGCCTGATGCAGGATGTGTTTAACAGTGTTTTATTGTTGTTACAATCAGCTGTAACTCTGCCTTTCCCAGCACTTGCTGCAGTCCCTGGGCATCAGGGGCTGGATTTGCTCCAGACAAACCCACCTGGCACCTCATCCTCAGTTCATCCACGTGTCCAAGCAATTGATTTGTTTTTAAAAATGCCACTTGCCACTCACAAGGAAAGCTTGGGTTGGGGTTTGTTGGGGTTTTTTTGCCTTGCTTTAACACATGCTGTGGGCCAGGGTTGCTGTGCAGTCCTGCAGGCTCTGGGGATTTAACATCTGTACTAATTCACAGGAGTGAAGAAGAGCTCTGCTGCCTGTATCTGTGGCAGGGCACAGCTTATCTCCAGCAGATCCAGCTTTATTCCCATCAGCTGGGATTCTGGCTGCATGTCTCAATGTTAATTGCCTGGCTTAAGGCTCTGCAAATGTGCACGTGTTGAGCTGATTCCAGCTGGACTTGAACCCGAGTTGCTGTGGAACAGCCTCAGTAAATCAGTGGGTTTGTTCTGGATTTATGTGGAGGAGTTACTGAACAGCACCCACTGGAGCTGGAGGGTGGACACAGGAGGGTATTGATCCTCTGAAGGGCCAGGGCCAGATCCTGGCAGCTGTAACCATGCCCAGTGCCTGGCTGGGTGTTGCTCTGATACAGCTGGAATTGCCTGAAGAGGGACCTGAGTTGCTTTCCTGTTGGGAGAGTGTTGGGCTCTGGCTGTTTGCCCATGAAACAGGCTTCATGCTGGGTGTTGGGATGATGGCAGATTGTTACCCTGAGCACGGGAGGCCAGGCTGGACCTGTTGGAAAAGGTCCAGAGAAGGGCCATGAGGGTGATCCAAGGGCTGGAGCAGCTCTGCTCTGGGACAGGCTGGGAGAGTTGGGGTGTTCAGCCTGGAGAAGAAAAGGCTCCAGGGAGACCTTAGAGCAGCTTCCAGTGCCTGAAGGGGCTCCAGGAAAGCTGGGGAGGGGCTTTTCACCAGAAAGGGTAGTGATAGTACAAGGGGTAGTGGTTTTAAACTGAAAAAGGGAATATTTAGGTTGGACATCAGGAAGAAATTCTTCACCATGAGGGTAGGAAGGCACTGGCCCAGGCTGCCCAGGGAAGCTGTGGCTGCCCCATCCCTGGGGGTGTTGAAGGGCAGGTTGGATGGGGCTTGGAGCAGCCTGGGCTGGTGGGAGGTGTTGGAACCTGCAGGGGGGGTTGGAACCTGCTTGAATGATGATCTTGAAGGTCCCTTCCATACTTTAACCATTCTATGCTTCTCTGTTCATCACCTGGAGCAGCACCCAGGGGTGCTGGTGCTGAAAGCTCCACCAGATGCCCTGCCCTTCTGTGCCTTCATGGCAAAGATCAGGGCACAGGGCATCACGAACCCAGAGAGAACCATTATTTACCCATGTGATACCTTGAGGTTGGTTTGGTTGTGGTTTTTTGAAAGTCACTGGAAGAATAGGGAGTGTTTTGGTGGTTTGGATCCTGCTGTCCAGCAGCAGGCACCTAAACCCCAGACTTAATGGCCACTAAAAATGCAACTTGGTGTTTCTAAAAGATGTGTCAGGCTCTGGCAAGTCCTGTTGGAAAGAGAAACTGGTGCTTTGAAAATGTCACCCTTTGTATGTATGGGGGGAGCAGGGCTGCTCGGGTCGGGTCAGCAGGATCAGGCAAAAAATGAGTCAAATCACTATTATTTAACTTAAAACCAATAAAATGGATAGCAGAAAGCTGCAGCCAGCAGCCTGCATTTGTGGGAAGGACTTGGCACATCCCAGGGGTGCCAATGGTTTCCCAGAGCTGATCATTTCCCAAATGCAAATGGCTAAACTCCAAGGTAGATGGAGATCCCTGGGGATGGAGGTGCAGGTCCCTGGGAAGCTGTGCTTCCAGCTGGAGCCTCCTCTCTGCCTTCTCTGTGATGCTTGCTCAGTTCCAGGTTTTTCATGGCACTTGTTTATGTTCTTGGATGGGAATTTGGGGAGTCCTGCCCACTGCAAGGTGGAAAAACCCCCTTGGGATCTTATATCTTGCACTCAGGTTGCTCAGGGCGTGAGCAGGAAGGAAAGAGCTGCTGTGTTTTTCACTCCCAGAGAGTTAAATGGGTGAAAACACTGAATTTGGAGGTTTCTTTGTCTGCTACCATCTACACATCCACAGGGGTGTGTGTGCACAGCCCAGAAACTGAGCATCAATGACAAGGAAGTCACAGAGGGAGCCCCCAGGGTTTGTCCCCCCTGGCCTGCTGTGGCTTTGGGAGCAGCAAGGTCTTGGCTCTTCAACTCAGAGCTCCTTGATGACATTTACTTGCTTTTCTTCTATTTTGTTTCTCTGGTTTGTTTCTTTTTTTGCTTCATCCCTTTCAAGCTCTTTTGTTGCCATTTCTGGATTTGAAGCATGTCAAAAAGTTCCTTCACAGAAACTTCTCCCTTTTTTTCCCTCCCCCTAGTTATATCCAGACAAAACTATTGTTTTCCAGGTGGAGAAGAGGCTTTTTTGAGGCCTTTTTTTGAGATTGAAGGGTGCCAGCTGCTTCTTTCAGGCACCCTCAGCAGCAGGGTGGCTGAGGCAGGTGGTTTCTGCTGAGGGTGCTGGGCCCTGTGCAGGGAGGCAGGGACTCCATTCAGGTTTCCCACTTGTGATTCAAACAAAATTGCCAGCCATCTGAGTGCTTAGAAGCCAAATCGGAATCCTGTGGCTGCTCAAAATCAGAATCCAAATCCTGTGCTTGCTCAAAATCACATTTAAATAGCTGCAGAGGAGAGACAGAGGATGCTCAGAGCCCTCATGCTGAGGTTTGCAGCCCTCACCTTGATGTTTTAAATCTTGGGGTTGGAATCTTGGGTTTCCTGAGTGCAAACACCTGCCTGGGGTTCAGGGAGGCTGTTGGTGGGGATGCTTGGCCTGAGGAAAACCCCACCAAGCAGGCTCTGCTGGAGGGGTGATCCCAGCCAGAGGTGGGTGAGGTTGATCCAGTCTGTGCTTTAGACCTGAGGGATGAAAAAGCATCAAGGGGGGGCTGGTTTTGACCCTAGTTGTTTTTCCTGGAGCCCCCTGAGGATGGTGAATAGTTGGGGGGAAAAATTCTACTGCCATAAGCACGTCGTTTGAAACGGGAGGACAGAGGAGAAACTGTTTTTGGCATGATGAGGATAATTAAAAAGCCAGTAAAGCCAAGCTGTTTTTATGGCATATCATCAAACAATACTGTGCTTAGGAGCCCAGCTATAAAAGCACCATCTCACCCCTTGATTTGGCTCGTGGGAGCACTGGAGGCACCGGGGACCGGAGGCTGCGGCGTGTTGGGTGTTTTGCAGGCGTTGACAGCACAGCCGAGGGGGTGGCACAGGCTCCCAGCCCTGCCAGGGGCAGCTTGGGGTGGCACAGGCTCCCAGCCCTGGCAGCTTGGGCAGCATTTTAGAGCTATTTTGCATGACTGCAAAAGGTGACAACACCAAGTGTCAGCCCAGAGCAACCACCCCAGAGCTGTCCCCGCGCCGGGGCGGAGGGACAAGGACACGCGTTGTGACGGTGGGATGGATTTTCTGGGGGCTCAGGGGAAAAAAAAACAACACCAACAGGGTATTTTATTGCCTGTCCTTTTTTTTTTTTTTTGCTCTGCAGATGAGGATGATGCCAACAGGCTGGGGGAGAAGGTGATTCTCCGGGAGCAAGTGAAAGAGCTTTTCAATGAAAAATACGGTGAGTCTCCCGTCCGCGCGCGTCGCCGGGCGGGTTTGGTTTTGCTGACAGCAGCCAGAGTTAAAATTAATTCGACTGAAGGCCTCTATTTATAGGCTGAGCACACAGCAGCCTGCTGCAGCACAGCCTCCATCCCACTGCTTCCCATTACAGCCTGTCCCTGGGGACCTTCCTGTGTCTTGCTCCTGGCAGGTGGGACCGTGACCTTCTTGTTGACAGCTCATCCTTGGCAAGGGGAGGGAGGATGGAAAAAGGCAGTCGAGGAGCAGGGTTTGTTCAGTCTGGCATCAGCCTTTGATGTGTTTTTAAGGTGTCCTGAGCTGTGGTGTGTGGGCTGAGCTTGCCTGCCCTGTGCCAGGGCCCTGCCTGCTCAGCCTGCCAGGCTGGGAGCAAAGCTGGAGCTGCAGCCCAACGTGGGGCATGGTTGGGGAAAAGCTGGCTGGAGCAAAAGGAGGTCAGGAGACTGAAGGAGGTTTGAAAATGCTGTTTTGCAGGCTCCTTGTGCTGCCTAGCAAAGCTGACCTTCCAGCCTGGAAAAGGCACAGCAGGAACAGGAGCCAGGTGGGGGGAGCACAGGAGCCAGGCACCCTGTGCCCTGAGCAGTGTCACTGTCCCAGCCCCACGGGCATGGGCTGCCCCTGCTCAGGCATGACTTGTGGACATGCTGGGCAGTTATTTCTGAACCTGTGGGTCCCCAGGGTCAGGCCGTGGTGACTGAGTGGCACCCCAGGACTTTGGTGTAGGTATCCTGCCTGTCTTCCCAAAATCATTGCCTGAGGAGCAGGAACAGAGCCAACATGATAGGAAAGTGGTGGGGAATGTCATTGCCCTCCGTCCTCAGGGCTCCCCTTGTCCAGGCTGCTCCCCCTTCCCACGAGCCCTGTTTGATTTGGGTGCTGCTGGCAGCTCAGAGAAGGTAACAGAGAGAGCATCTGTCATTCATTGCCACCCCTGCATGAAGCCATGACCATGGGCTGCCTGCTGCTCTGGGGCTGGTTTGGCCCCGTTGGAGGTGGCAGCACCAGGCACAGCTCCCCAGGGAGGATGCTCTGAGCATCCCCAGCTCAGCAGCACCCACCCCACGTGAGGGCTGAGCCCACAGCAGATCCCTGCATTCCCGTGGTCCTGGCACAGTTTGGGGAGCACAAGACACCAGGTGGGCTCCAGGGTCAAACACCCTGCAGAGAGAGCCAGGAACGTGGCTGAGCAACAGCTCCCACCTCCAGGTTTGGGGGCTGCAGGGATGGAAGGGGAGATCAGGCTCTTGCAGTCAGTCTCTCCTCACGGAGAAGGGAACACATGGGGCAGGGACGTGGCTGCAGCAGAGGTTGGGCACCACAGCAGCCATGGTGTCACAGAGTCACCCAATCATAGAGTGGTTTAGGTTGGAAGGGACCTTAAAGCTCATCTGCTTCCAACCCCCCAGGGCTCTCGGTCCTTCGGTTGGTTGGATCCAGAGCCCTGGGGGGTAAAGCTGGTGTGTTGTCCTCTGCTCTGCTGCTACAGGAGAAGCTCTGGGCTTGAACCGGCCCGTCATGGTGCCCTATAAACTCATCAGGGACAGTCCTGACGCTGTGGAGGTCACGGGGCTGCCAGATGACATCCCCTTCAGGAACCCCAACACCTACGACATCCACCGGCTGGAGAAGATCCTGAAGGCCCGGGAGAGCATCCGGATGGTGATTATCAACCAGCTCCAGTAAGTTCCCCAGCTCTGTCACCTGGGAAGGTTTCTGTCCATTAAGCACTGCCCTGGCTTCTCCAGCTGTGAGCGGGGTGAGTCACATCAGCACCTACCTGCCAGGACCTGCTCCATTCCCAGCACCTGCTGCCCTGCCCTTCAGGGAGCAGCTCAGCCATGGGGTGGGCACGGAGAAGCCTCAGCAGGGCTAGTTGATCCTCTTCCTTGTGCAGTTTGAGGTGATGCCAAGAAGGCCAAGGGCCTCCTGGGGTGCATTAGAAAGGGGGTGGTTAGTAGGGCAAGGGAGGTTCTCCTCCCCCTCTGTTCTGCCTTGGTGAGGTCACATCTGGAATGTTGTGCCCAGTTCTGGGCCCCTCAGTTCCAGAAGGACAGGGAACTGCTGGAAAGAGCCCAGGGCAGAGCCACAGAGATGCTGGAGGGAGGGGAACATCTCCCTGCTGAGGAAAGGCTGAGGGAGCTGGGTCTGTTGGGCTTGGAGAAGAGGAGACTGAGGGGCCACCTCATCCATGGGCACAAATCTGTTCAGGGCAGTGTCAGGAAGACAGAGCCAGGCTTTGTGCAGTGATGTCCAGTGACAGGACAAGGGGCAGTGGGTGCAAACTGGAGCCCAGGAGGTTCCATGGGAATCTCAGGAAGAACTTCTTTGCTGTGAGAGTGCCAGAGCCCTGGGCCAGGCTGCCCAGAGAGGCTGTGGAGTCTCCTTCTCTGGAGACATTCCAACCCCCCTGGCCACGTTCCTGTGTGATGTGCTCTGGGTGCCTGGCAGTGGGGCTGGGCTGGGTGAGCTTTCCAGGTCTTTCCCAACCCTTGGGATTCTGTGATGCTGTGATTCTGTGATGATGATGCTGGGAAGGGGCACAGGGGCAGATAAGGGGATGGCTCAGAGACCCAGCTGAATTATTTGGGGTTGCTTCTCTCCTCCAGGGAGCAGTGGGGAGGCTCCGTGTCCCATCCTCATGCAGGCAGGCGATCAGCTCGGGGTGGGGGTCTTGGCTGTGGGGAGAAAGGAGGGGGGGTCCCCTGAGCTGACCCTGCTTGTCTCTTACACAGGCCGTTTGCTGAAATCTGCACTGAGGCCAAACAGACAGGTAAGAGGAGGGCCAAGAAGTAACCGTGGCTTTCCCTGCCCTCTGGTGGGGAGAACAGATGGGAAACAGGGATGGGTGTCCTGGGGAGGCCTCCAGACCTCCTGCATCCCTGGGGGAGGCTGGGGAGAAGGTCCTGCCTGGAAAAAGACAAGTCAGGCTCAGCATCTCTTCAGGGGCAAACCATCCTCTTAGACCTCTGCTCTTCTGTGAGCTGGGAAGAGGTTGGGCTGTTAGACTCCAACTTTCAGCATGTTCTGGAGGATTTGATTATCCCTTTCCCATTAGCAATTTACTCCCCATGAACAATTTATTCCCTGCTTAAAGCCCTTCATTTGAGCCATCATTT